ATCTGGTATGCACACAATAATTCCTTATAGATTTAAATATTCCTTACATTTCTTCTTCATTGTTTAGATTTTCAGATAGGTCCGAATACTACAAGGTTTAATACCACCTTCAGTACATAATCAAGAAGGTTAACGCACACACAGAAAGGCAAAAAATGTATAAGCCAGACAACTATGTATTGCATTAAAATATACAATGGCAATAAAATTGCCTATTCTAGCATGTAAAGAGATGCCGGCAAAAAGTCGCAGCGCAACGTAACGGCGATAGAATAGTGTAAGATCTCGATTACGATGGCATGTCGATTACAGAAGAGATTTTTCTGATGCCAATTAGTTTTGAATACGGTCACATGAGACTGGTTTTATGACACACATATAAAGCCGTGGTAATATACATGATAGGTATTCACGTTACTTTACGAGATTTTCTTCGAAAAAATTTAGTCTAATTCGATGGTCAATAACTACAACTAACGGCGCCTGTAATTGGCAATTAAATGAAATTAAAATAAGAATAATTATAATAGTTTAATATTTACGACCTCGATTATGTATGACCCAGAGTGTGTTTCATGGGACTGAAATATGCACATAGCACGTTTTATTAACATAATAATTAACACACATATCTATTATATCTGAATCTAATTATAAAGCAATAAAACGTTTATTGTTAATGAAAATATAATTGGTTAAGGTCTGTCCAGTGGTCAAGTTTACTTATTCATTGCTTTTGTTTTCTTTTAAAAGGAATGTAAATAGCGAGGAAAATACAGGGTGTCCGGAAGCGAATAAGGTATACTTCAAACGTAGCTTTCTTGTTTGGTAACAAATCAGTTTAGAACAGTTTGCCTTAGTAGGTATAAGTTTTTCCGAAGTCAATTGAAGAACCTATAATTTCAAGGTATGTACCAGGCTTGGTCGCTAAGCAGCAACTCGGCATTGAAATATTTGAAAAACTTGTTCTCATATTTATTTAGCCATACCCATATATAGGTCTGGTCGAACTGTGCAGGTGGTAGAAATGTATACGACCAGTTGAAGAACGCGAGCGCGGGCAAACAAAATGTAACACAACTGTATTGGGCTTCTGGCAACAAATCACAACAGGCGACTAGTGGTTCATAAATTGCCCAGCAGTGCAGTGCTGCAGTGCGGAATTTGGTGTGAATTAGGCAAAGAGAGAAATAAGAGGGATATTTTGTTTACTAATATTATCACAACATGGCATTTTGGAGACCTTTTGAAACGGAACAAAACAAAATTTACCACCAATATAATTAAATTGTTTGAGGACATAAATAATTAAAATATATTGTTGGCCATATAATAGAAATTTTCTACACATTATATACAAATTTTTATAATTTTTTACCTTTAGCAGAAAATTTTTTTAGGGACGCCTATGAAACTCATTAAATTTTATTACCAGACGTTTTTTTGCATATTCAACTGACTTCGGAAGGACTATACAATGTTACATTTGCTTCTTCAAGAAGTCACAAGCTTTTAAAGATTTATTTTTTTTATTTGATTTTTTTGAGATACTCCAAAGACACTGACTGGGGGAGTTTTTGGAGCAGCTGATTTTGAATTTGATCTTATTTTTTTACCTAAAACATAAAGCTTGCTAAAGTCACCGTAAACAGTGTTTCTTTTCGTTGGTAAAGACTTTGAGGAAACCTAGATGATTTTTGAAACGTCACGCCAACGATCAACTGGGTTATAGCTCTGGAAATTTAATGCGACTTTTTTATACAGGGGCATTGATGTAAATTATAAAAAAAATATAATAATTTGGCTGCAAATTTAGCAAAAATAGTGAAGATTATTTGTATTAGAATACTCCCAAATACTCGACTTGTAGCAACTGCAGTAAAATAATTGAAATCACGTTTTCCTGGAATGGTGCATTTGAGAGATTTGCAGCAAGTATACGTTTTTTTTCCAGTAAATAAAGTGGGTTTTCATAAAACATATCCGTTGTCTCAAAATTACTACCAACAAAATAAATATGAGAAAAAATAAAAACCTATTTAAGGTTATTCTTAGCAGCCCATACATTTTAGGAAAAATTAAGCTTACATTCATACGCTGGTACCCAGAAAACTTGCACATATCAAATTTCATTAAACTATCTTTAAAAATTATGATGAAGATAATAATATGTAGACCAAAAAATGCTTTGAAGGCCCGTAGCTATTTGAATGGAAGCAAAATTGTACCGACGTATATTAAAACGATATATCTTTCGTAATTATTTAATAATTTGTATTTTGTCTTATCTAAAGGACCCCGCACAAACCTTATGGAAAATGGCTTTCGGTCAAAATGGCTGAAATTGAAATATAATATAGCTCTCACCTTCCTGAGCAAAAGTTGTCATGGGCCCAAAGTGATCCTATGTGTAGATATGAAGCTAACGATTTCATAGCACAGTGCTGAAGTGCAGAAATAGGTGTATGTAAATCTCCCTTTCTCCGTATATACAGGGTGAGTAGGTTTTTTGTAGACAAACTTTAATAGGAGATAGAACACATGTTTTTAAAAGGAAAAGTTCCTATAAATATATGTCGTAGAAGGCTTCGTTTCCGAGATACATGGTGTTGAATATAATTATTTTTTTCTGGAATTTTCATTATAACATAAACGAATGCTTAGATTTTTTTCATGTTTAGGGGATAATGCCTATTAATTAAGGGGCATAAAACAAGCGATAAGAATGTTCAAAAACTTGCACAGTGGCGGAGTGGAGGGGGGTGCTCAACACGTTTCTTAAACAGAACTTCTACGCCAATGACTATTTTTTAAAAAAACTGTTATTTTCATTATCTACATACAGTTTAACAAAAATAATGTCCCTACTTCTGTTTCGAAATTCCTGTGCGTTTCCGAGTTATTTTGATTTTTAGTGTTTGATGTGGTACTAAATTAATATTGCTTATCAATTATCGGCTAAATATTTAATTCTTTCAACGAAACCTACCGAAATATGGTTTGTTAAGGATTCTAAAATGCCGAAATCTCTTAATCTTTATCTCTTTCCAATATAGTCAAAATAAATGTTTGTTATATCAAGCCATACTCAAATACAAGACTTTTATAAGTTGAAATCTGTTTAATACACTAATTTTAACAATCCTTATTTATTATGTGTGCGTAAATACTAATGTACTGCAACTAAATTACAAAAAAAAAACATTGAATGAACATTGATGTTAATGTTGATGGAGAAATTTAGTACCACAACAAACACTAAAAATCAAAATAACTCGGAAACGCACAGGAATTTCGAGACAGAAGAATGGACATTATTTTTGTTAAACTATATGTAGATAATGAAAATAACAGTTTTTTAAAAAAATAGTCATTGGCGTTGAAGTTCTGTTTAAGAAAGGGGTTGAGCACCCCTTCCACTCCGCCATTGTGCAAGTTTTTGAACATTTTTTATGCCCCTTAATTAATAGGCATTATCTCCCAAACAAGAAAAAATCTAAGCATTCGTTTATAAGTTATAATGAATATTAGAGAAAAAGAATTATATTCAACACCCCTCGGAAACGAAGCCTTCTACGACATATGTTCATAGGAACTTTTCTTTTTAAAAACATGTGTTCTATCTCCTGTTAAACAACCTGTCTACAAAAAACTGACTCACCCTGTATATACGGAGAAAGGGAGATATACATACACCTATCCTGCACTTCAGCACCGTGCTATGAAATCGTTAGCTTCAAAGCTCTATATCTTTAAATCTACTCATAGGATCGCTTTGGGCCCATGACAACTTTTGCTCAGGAAGGTGAGAGCTATATCATATTTCAATTTCAGCCATTTTGACCGAAAGCCATTTTCCATAAGGTTTGTGCGGGGTCCTTTAATAATTAGATATACATATACTGCAAAAAAGTGGAATGTAATTTGTTTATAATACTATTTAAGTTTTATTTGTCAAATCATCAATGAACCTATAAGACGGAGATTTAATAGTGTCTAAGTTTTAAGCTCAGATGGATTTCGAAATGCTGACTCAAATGATGTGCTGTACGGCGAGGTTATTTTAATAAAATGTCTAGGTGTAATTAAAATAATTGATCAAATTTTAATGGTAATGGAAAGCTTTGCGGAATTCATATTTTTTGTGTTAAATACATCAAGTGACTTTTCATCATTTATCACGAAAAACAAGGCAATTCTTTTGTACTCTACTAAGTAGATAGTAAGAACGTAAGAAGGAAGTAAATATGAAACAGCTTAAAAAAATTGTTGGCGGAAGTTACTAAATCAAGTTCAAGTCTTTAAACTTCAATAAATTGTATTTGAAAAACAAAGTATCACTAAAGTGTGGTCTAGCATTTTAGTTACATTTCACACACCTAGTATGGTTTTTTTTCAAGAAGTTTTTCAAAATCGCCCTTAAATGATACCTCTGCAGTTAAGTAGGTAGGTACAGTTTTTTTACAAGCTTTTATTTAACTTCACGTTTTTTTGTTTGTTTTTATGTATGTTTAGTTCAAATCTTGCAAGACCAATTTGGACCACTTCCTCTAAACGCACGACTTTGAAATTTTGCATGCTTGTTCCGTTCTGACAATACACTAATATAATAGAAATAACCTGATACTGCAACTTTTAAATCGCATAAGAAGATGAATCCAACCCCGTACGAGTTATTTTCAATTTATTTAATATAATTAATTGCTTGGTTCAGTTTTCTATACACGTAAATACGAGTGTAAACACAATAAAATAAGCGCGTCTAATTCTGGTCAAGCAAAAACGTAGTACACAAGTAAAACTCGGTTTCGACGCGCAAAACAATCAGACCAAAAAAACTTCCGCAAAAAGCCATTACAAAAACTGCATTCAAAGCAAATGACCCAGATACGGTTTCGAAACGTACGTTCGTTACACATTACATTTATTATAACAGGAATTAGAATAAAACGCGAGGATATTGCAACAAAATATGAAAACGGCCAAATGGTTTCACTCACAGTTTCTTCATGTATCGCTTCCTAGCTATCAGGGTGTAGGATTCCCTGTGACCGGCCGTGAAGTACTTCATCTTGAGGCCCATTTAAACACTAGTATCACAAAACAATATTGCACGTATTGCAAATCTTATATTGCCTCGAAAACGTCCACAAGAAAAAGGCGTCTATCCTTCGGGTCGGAATATAAAACACAACACAAGCATTACGTTACGCAATAAAATGTCACACACTTAACTCAATCTTGGCAATAACAATAAAAAAGAACAGGTTTCTCCCGGCACTTGCGCCAAATTCAAACGCGTTCCGCGGGAAAGGGGTGAGCAACTTTCTCACCGTGGAAAATAGACGCGGTTGCCATTATCCCAGGAACCTGTTGTGCAAAGTCCGTTACATCTTGGGGAAGCACCTGATCGGATCACCAGCGATTAGCTCGTACGGTTCGCGGATCGCACGTGCGGAAAGGAGGAAACCGGCCCTAGAACGCAACCTCCTCGTACACCGGCGTGAACAGCACTGGCTGGAGCGAAAAGGTAGTGGTTGTAGTGCAGCCAGCGTGGATGAGAGCTGCATGAATGTAATGGGTGAGTCGGAGGGACCCCTCTCTGCGTGGCTTCGCTCTCTCGGTCGGGTTTCTGTTTCGTGCTGCGATCTCCTTTCAGCACGTGGACAATGCCGCCGGGAGATAACTTTTATCGGAAACGGAACGGGAGCATTTAATCTGATTACCAGTTTAGTTATGGATGCACTCTTCGAGTCCTTATCTGGAACTCCCTTGCATGCTAGAGCTGTTATGTTTAGCACCGGCGGAAATGGGGTCGGTGTAATAGTGCAGAATCAGAGATGGGTGTATGCAGATTTATTTCTGAAAAATTACCACTAAAAATGACAAATGTTACGAGGCGTCCCATTCATAGCCAAGATGTACGATTCGAAGGGTCTCTAACAGACGTCTAAAATTATGCAAAGAGAAATTAGATAAATTGGAAAGATTGAACTTACTTATATTATAATCTAGAATATAAATAATAATATAAAAATAAAAGTCATCAGAAGATGACCAAGAGCAACGTCATCTGACGCTTCTGAATTAGAAAATTCAGAAACATCAGATATGATTCATAGTCAACGACTGAATATATACTTTAAGTGAATTTATGTTATTTTTTTTAACACACATTTTACTTTTATGCCAAGCCCATGTGAAAATATATCTCAATGTCTTTTTGAGTGATAAGGAACGGATATTTTGTTACTTTCCGTTGTTTAGTCATGAAAAAATTTGATGATTTTTTGTCAGTTGAAATAACACACTATACGTATTTGCCTTCTGTTAACTTATGCTTAAACTCAACTGATTTGAGATTTAGGATCTCGGGAAAGCACCGAAAGCAAACTTCGGATTCGGCCAATTTCCTTTGGAAATAGTTATTTTTGATGCTAAATTGCGAAATGGATTCGAGACTTCAATAATTAAAAAGAATTTCGCAATTGAGTTTCAAACATTTTTTCGAAAACTGTATCCCACAGTTCAAAAACTCCTATTTTCAAAAGGATCATTAAAAGTTGATTTTTATATGATATTTATGTATTAGGTGTCAAAACAACAGTTTTTTGTCAACAGAACGTAACAGTGTTTTACATCCACCTACCAAAATCAATGAAATTATAGATAATTAAATTGATTAATAATTAAATGGATTATTAATGATTGTTATAATTTATGATTTTGTTGATAATAATAAAAAAACTGGTGACAGATCAAGGCGGATCTGTTTTGAGGTGGATGTGAGAGAGGACAAGCAATTTTATTCTGGATTCCTAGATCTGGACGAGGTCCGGAACATTTTAAAATTTTCAAAAATGTATAAAAAATACCTATTTTATCTCAGTTTTTTACTTATATCTTGGAAGAATATTGAAGAGGAAAAAAAGTTTTAGAATTGAATATTGTAAGTTAAAAATGTTTAAATTTATTGCCGTTGTTGCAAATTAGCAATAATTGATGAAAAAAGGCAAAAAATCAAGTTTTCTAGATAATTTTTTTAAAATGTTTTAATTGCTCCGATGGCATTCTAATTTTGGCAAAAAAACTTTATAGTATAATAAAACAACCAAATTTCATTAAAATCGGTTCGATAGTTTTCGCAAAATAATTTTTTAATTTAATTTAACGCCTTTCCCTAATACAATTTTACAATACAATACACATAAATGATTATTTATAAAAAATTACTGTAGCGAACTAGCGTGCTTTGCTCATACATTTGTTCACATTATTTGTTTCTTGCTGTTTCTAGAATCTGATTTATTTATTTCTGTCATGTTCTTAGAAGTTTAAAGATTGTTCTATACTGTTCTGAGAAACCTGTGGAAATTTAAAAAAAAAAACGAAAAATTCACCTATAAAAGGCCGCGCCAATGCCTTGCGGAGGGGGAAGTTTTTCAAGGTTAAGTTACGTTCTGTTATTGTGAATCGTCAAAGTCGTCGAAGTTTATAAGTTGTTCTGTACCAAATGTGCTAAATAAAGGAAATTTGGTACACTACTTTTTAATCAAACTGAATTGTTTCCCAAAATGCCAAACTGGCATAGTGTATTATTATTATGTTATAATAAATAAAATTTATTATAACATAACATCGTTTCTCTTCTTTAATACTGTTTTGAGAAATTTAAAGGAAATATGATGAACAAAAATGTAATTAGGTACCTAGGTACGGTTTTTAATAGCTATATAAATGTTATATTTATGTATTTTATATACACGGGAGCGATCCTACTGATGCATGAATTGTAAAGTAGTTTATGAAGTTACCCGTTAGTTCTTTTGGAACATTACCAATTTCCGTTCATGCGGTTTTGTTAAAATACAGTAAAATATGTAATTATCAAAAATGAAAACCCAAAATGTCTGTATATAATAAATACAAAAACACATACCTGATATATTGGAATTGTTTAATAATGTGATTACATTATTGAAAGGAGTTTTTTATTCTATCATTAAGTACATTTACAAAGACGAACACGTGAAAAACAACTACTACAAAGAGGTGTTTTTGTTTCCACATTTTACTTGTTTTATGTTGTAATAAACATTAATATAACAAAATTACATATAAACACTAAACTTTTAGAAAAAAGTTCCCACTATCTAATTGTTTACTTGCATTAGAATTACACGATGAATCAATTTTATTTTAAAGGATAATTTATTGCATAACATGTATTCATAAAAGCATCTATTTCCAACGGGAAGTCTAGTCATTCGGTCATAGAAAGTGAAATTAAAAATTGATTAATTCTGTTCTGGCACATCATGCACGATTGCGGTATACTTTCCACGATTTTTTTTTTTGGTATGCATTAACTGTAACATGATGTGGGTCCAAAAACTGGAGATTGTTTAAGACAATGAGCCGCATAAGAATATCTACCTACTTAAAACTAGATAAATAGAAAAGTATTCACATTAGTTGTTAACATGAACATTAAATAAACTAGGTGTTTGCTGATAATTTATTCTATTTCAGTTTTTAACATCTTTATCACCATATTATTAAAAAATATGAAAACATTTGAAACCTCTTTATTTTCTTATTAAAATATTTAAGCATAAGTTATCTGCATATATCAACTAAGATCGTACTAAGCTTTGAGTCATCAAAAGTTACTAGTATATTCAGAAATAGTACTATTTTGGTACGAATCATATTTAATTATTTGCTAATGACATGATGTGAACTACTTTAAGGTAAAAATTGGGTGGATGGGTATTGAGGACCTTTGATCCAAAAAAAGTCACTGTACATTTTTGTGTGTTGTATATAAATTTCAGCAACTGCAGATTTCAAGTCAAAATGCCACAAAAAAATATATAAATTTAGTTGAAATTTGAATTATGCTCCTTATTGCAAGCAATGGTGGCGGTGTGACATCATAAAACCCTGAGCGTTGTTGAAGGCCGAACTGATTATTTTTTCTCGGATGTTCCACTATAGGAAGAACAATATACCACAGCATCTGCCAAGGTACCGATCACAGGTAAGGGTGTTATCATGCCTGATTGCGAGAAGTGTCAAACTCAGTATATGAGATTTTTTAACACCTGTATGTCTCAAAAAATTATAATTTTTTGCAGACAATTAAAAGAATTGGTTTAACAACACATCTTCAAAAAATTGCTGCCTAAAAAGCAAAAAAACAAGCATGAATTGCTATTTTGGGGGTTATAGTTTCTAAATATGTGCCTTTTTGGGTCTATTTGAAACCATATGTTATTATTACAGACGTAGAAATTTCACTCCAAATAAATACTTATTACGTTGTAGTTATTTATTATTTAGATTTAATGTTATTGTAGTGATACATATTCGTGTGAACTGAGTCCGGTTCTGTTAAGAGCCGCTTAGCCCCGAACTTTGGTCATAAAAAATATATTTTAAGCTATCTTCATTATGGAATCCAACATATTTCTCGCAAGCATCGGCATCGTTAATAAGTACAAGTTTTTACTATTCCTTATTTTATTTTCGCCTAATACTATCTACAAGGTAAGGGAACAACCAGGGGGTGTTTTGGAAAAAATGATTTATAGAAAAATTGTTTGACTTTCAACGCCACTATCATTTAGAAATATTTTTTTAATTACATAGGTACTACTAAATTTCAATGGAGCTGTCACTATAATTGCTTATCTTAAACGGAACATCCTATATATTGTGGAATATTTGATTCCTTTTACTGAACTTAAGTAACCTTGTTTTAAGTAAATTTAGTCTAAATCTCACCACATTGCTACAAACAGGTATTTTGAAAAAAAAACTTTTGCATTGAATTCTATCCATAGTAATTGTATGTCTTTTGTAATTCTGAAAAAACTTATTTTTATAGAGCGTATTACAGATATTCATATAGTAGGAAATGCTTTTGCAATTTGGAGCACAACATTGACGTTTAGTTCTACCAGCTAAACTAATTTTGGATAAAAAACGAATAAAAAAACAGTAACGCAGTTCAAGCGATTGATTCAATAAATCTCTTATTACATTAATCTAAAACAAAACAAATTTATTAATGCACAAAACGCGGCAACCTATCTAAACAAAAAACTATAACCTCAGACAATCAAACATTCTATTTCTGATCTGTTGATTTGTTGATTGAAATATTGGAAATACAAGGCTTTTTTTCGCGAGTGAAGTCGTACGTCGTAGTACGCGTAGTGAGAGTGAATGAAGAAATTTAAACCACTATATGACAACTAAGATTAAAAGAGATAGAAATAGTGTCAGATATACAAGTCAGATATTCACCAACATTCAATCGCGAAAAAAGCCTACAAATTCGATCTACGGTTGCCCATTTCTGTTTAACAATTTCTATAAAGGACAATGTTTTGCTGCACCAACGCGAGATGGCCTCAGTGGACGCATGCTCCGTCCGCCCTATCCAATAAATCCTCTTATTTATTTACTCA